ATTTTAAATGCCATAAGGAGAGTATATAGATCGTATGTGTGTGTATATATATAATCAATCTTCATTATTCATGAATTCTACTTGTCTACCCAGTAAAATTTGTCTAACTCTAAAATCAATACTGTGGCACTTTTTAGAGTCACTGGTAGATATGTGTAAAGCAGCAAAAAATTTTGAGTTGTCAGGTACACACATCCACAGCTGAGGTCACACAAGGTAACACTCTGCCTTCTTTCAGCTCTCATACTATCAACAAGTGTCTTTCTCACAGTTTATCTAGTGACACATTTTTGCTTTCTGTTGGTGGTTTTGCTGTTTAAAATGGACCCCAAATATAGCAATGAAGTGCTATATAGTGTTCCTAAATTCAAGAGGCTGTGAAGTGATTTACAGAGAAAACGAATGTGTTATATAAGCTTCACTCAGGCCTGAGTAATAGTGTTGTTGGTAGTGATTCATTGTTAATGAGTTAACAATAATTAAGAGTCTTTAAACAGAAACACACATAAAACAAGGTTATGTACTGATTAGTTCACAAAAATGCTGCGACCATAGGCTTGTAGAAACATAACCCTTTAATTCCCCTAGGAGTAATGATTCAGTATTTGCTAATTCAACACTCTCAGACTTTATAAAACCTAACTACTGTGAATAACGAGAATGAACTGTAGTTAGTCCTTCAGAAAAGTAACTACAGTCACACATTGCTTTACAAGGGGGATACACTGAGAAATGGGTCGTTGAGTGATTTTGTCCTTACGTGAACGTTATAAGAGAGCACTTACACAAACTCAAACATATATTTTTTATATAGAAATGAAAATATATACTCATATTTTCATATAGAAAACTCACAGTTCCCAGTTCCATTGATAATTATCAATCATTTCCCCTACTTGATATGCAATGCCAATATCAAGTGCCACATTATCAAGATTCTACGTATGCTCCATTACATTATTACAGGACCACCATCCTATATGCAATGTAGTCTTTGACTGAAATGTCATGATGTAACATATGACTATGTTTGAAGTTGCTGAATACAGTCAAGGTAGAAAAGCAGTATACTTCTATAGTAAAAGAACTCTAAGCTAGACAATCAAAATAGCTAACTTTCTTCTTTTTTTTTTTTGAGACGGAGTTTCGCTGTTGTTGCCCAGACTGGAGTGCAATGGCATGATCTCGGCTCACCGCAACCTCCGCCTCCTGGGTTCAAGCAATTCTCCTGCCTCAGCCTCCCGAGTAGCTGGGACTACAGGCACGCACCGTCATGCCCAGCTAATTTTTGTATTTTTAGTAGAGACGGGGTTTCACCTTGTTGACCAGGATGGTCTCGATCTCTTGACCTCGTGATCCACCCACCTCGGCCTCCCAAAGTGCTGGGATTATAGGCGTGAGCCACCGCGCCTGGCCTTAAAATAGCTAACTTTCTAAATTAAGCACTTACACCACCTCAATTAACTCTATGAAGTCAAAACTCTGTGCTTCAGCTTTCTGAAGTGTGTGTTTTTTTGTGTTATAGTGGTAAGGTCAATGGGGGGATTGTTTGAGGACACATCAATTCTCCGCTTCTAACACGGTCATAACAGTACTCACTTTGAAGAGTTCCTACTCTTCTTTCTTTACTAAGGTCTTGTTGCTGGGTTCCATGCTTCAACTTAGATAAGAAAAGATTCTTGTGAGACCTAAAATAAAATATGAAAGCTTGTGATTGGTTCTAGAAAGATTAGTAAAGCAATGGAAAAAAGGGTAAATGATTTGCCTTGATCTGTTCTAGGGTCTTCTATTATACTTTGGCCCACTTCCTTTGGTGCTCTCCCTGCTTAGTGCCCCATCTTAACCTGTGGCCTCTTAAGGTTTCTGTTGCCTCTCTCATCTTTCTCCATGCCATCTACTTAGCAGATATCAAGATGTCTTTTGAGGCCTCAGAAGGAGGCAAAAACCAAAAAAATAAAAAACAAAAACACAAAACTCTTTTGGCCTTCCAATTAAATACATCAAGGAAACAAAATCCTTAAACTACAAAGCATTAGCTTTCATTTCCCCAAAGACAAATTCCAAAATTCCTTTACAAAATGGCAGATATCACTTGATTATCTTTACAGTTTCCCAAGAGTTTTAAAAGGTGAGGCTGTTTGGAAACACAGGAAGTGGCATTGTTTTTTGAGAAAACCCTGCCAAGTTGGTAGTATATTAATCAGTTTTATGAAGGAGCAAACTAAGATTCAAAAAGCAGTTCACCTAAGCTTAGGCAGCTGTATTAACTCCACTTAAAATGTAGGTTCTTTTAGCTATACTTTTATCCCTATGGATACGGTATGTCACCAGATATCCTTTCTTTCTTCCCCTCTCTCCCTCCTTCACAAGACTTTCCATTGTCCTTTCTGGAATGTCATTCTCAACCTCATTCCTCCCCTCTTTGCCTTGTCAAAAATCCAGCTTTCCCCTGGGGAAAACATTTCTCTCCTTGGTAGCCTTCTCTAGTAGAGATTAGTTTAATCGTCCACCCTCCACAAATTACAGGACTCCAGAGACAGCAGTTTTCATTTCCTAATGAATGCCACTTCCAAGGTCCTGTTTCCATAGAAACTTCAGCCTTGAGGCTTCGTGCCACTGAGATGTATCACCTTCAATCATTCTTCACAGCCATTCACCATCCTTCGAAGCACTTCTTCATCATTCGCAGATCTTTCTCTACACCTAAGTGCTGCTATTATGACTTATGTCAGTGTTCTCACGGACAATTCATATACCACTCTGACCTCTCAATTCCTCATGTCCAATCACCTCCACCACACAAAGTCAGCCACCCCCTCCCATGGTTCCACTTGTGATTCCAACTGTTCTATCTTCGAAATCATTCATGCAGACTTTCTGCTCTCTGGACATGTTACATTGTCTGTCACAGCAATTCTAGTAGATTGAATAGTTTTTCAAGAAAATTTCATAAAATTGGCATTCGGGACATTCATTAGAAATGTAATCCCCATCCCTTTCCTGCCCCAGTATTGTATCTTTGTTTCTATGACAGATAGGAGTTTACTAAACTTCTGTTTTAAGCTCAAGAACTCCCTATATGTGTACTTCAATAGTGGCTTTGTAGAAGCAATGTGAAACAACCCACTCTCAGAAGCGGGTCTCTATAGTTTGGAATTTCAAGATATCTCAGAGTCACGAATATATATTGGGCTAAGTAGGACACTGAGATATTCTTTAAATTGTACCATTTATGTGGTAGTTATTATATTAGGTCTGCATGAATTGCTTCAATCAAAGATTTGAAAGACAAAGAAGAAAAATGTCAATTTACTTCACCTCAATAAGGATACTGTACCCTCTGAGGATTCAGTTACCGCAGACTGTTTGTCACTAACACTTTAAAAGAAGAAAAAATTTTAAGAATGTAAACAAAAGAAACTTTTCATAAGGATAGTATTTTCCACATAGTCAAACCATATTTCAATTTTTCAAAAATAACTTTGGAAAGAAACCTTGATAACATTGGGACATACATGGTGCATTACAACATGGCTAATTTTTGTCCAAACATGCTTATAAGAGGTATTAAATCAAGCTCCTCCAAACATAAGCATAATTAATGCTGTAGTCAAGCATTTGTAATAACACTCTTTCAATCTTCTATGGTACTTTATTTCCATGAATTTAAGTTTTTAAAACTGCTTTATTAAGGTATAACTGATACCTAAAAAGCACATGTTTGAAGTTTATAATTTGATGGGTTCAATTTTAATTTATTGTTCTCCCCACCAGAGTCCAATTGAACTTTGGGGAATTGATTAATTTCCCCTTTGTTATAGTTAAAATAGTTTCCACAAACACGGCATGATTATTTGCACCTCCATGCTTTCACTGGTACTATCCCTCTCTCCTAAAATGGTATTTCCTCTTCTGTCTGTAAAAATCTTAACCATCCTACAAAAGCCCCTGCTCAAGACTAGTTCCTCCATGAAGCTGTCCATCTCAATTATTAAACATTGTGCTAGATATTTTAAGTAACCTAGAGATGATTTAAAGTATATGGGAGGATGTATGTAGGTTATATGCAAATATTACACCTTTTTTTTTTTTTTATGAGACAGGGTCTCTCCAAGGGTTACACAGGCTAGAGCAGAGCTTACTGCAGGCCTCCTGGGCTCAAGTGATCTTCTCACCTAAGCCTCTCAAGTAGTCAGTACTACAGGCATGTACCGCCATGCCTGGTTAATTTTTGTAAAGACAAGTTTCTGCATGTTGCCTAGGCTGATCTCCAGTGATCCTCATGCCTCAGCCTTTCAAAGTGCTGGGATTATAGGTATGTGCTACTGTTCCTGGCTATTACACAATTTTTGTAAGACACCTGAGCATGCGTGGATTTTGGTATTCATGGGTTATAGATGTCCTAGGACTAATCCCCTTCAAACACCAAGGGATAACTGCATACACTTTATCAGAGCAAAATATTTATTTCATCTAGTCTTCATAACATAGGGGTTTCAATTTTTCTACCATCTGACCTCACAGTCACGCTTCTGATTCTATACTTGCTTCACGTGAATCCTACTGGTAACCATCCTGATACTGGTGATTTGATGCTTTATTTGTCCTGGTTCTGCTTCCAGGATAGTTTTGGTATTTGCTTGATTCTTTATCTTTAACCTGTTTCTAGTTTTAGTTTTGTTCCCTGTAACTAGTGTACAGTAAGTTCTAATACATGCCTGGTAATGAATTAGGCAACAAGAATACCAAGCTAATTAAGATGCTTCAAAGCTAATTAAGAAACTTCAAATAATTCTCAATCTAGTAAAAGCATCAGATAGGTAAACAGATAAGTTACTAATGAAGATGAGTCCTTTTATAGAGATATATGCTATAAAAGCACAGAAGTAACAACTCTGATGGAGAGCTGGGCAAGACTTCATACAGGTGATCTCTGAGATACATTAAATGTCAAGTAAGAGCCTGCCATGGAGAGAATAAAAAGGAATTCAAATAGAAGGAACAAAGCAAGGGTAGAGGTATGAAAACTTCTAACATTATAAGATCAGGGAGAAGTTCTGTGCTGCTAGAAAGTACCATGTATGTGGGCAGAGGGGTTCATGCTTAGGGATAAGATTGTAGATGAAAAAAAAATACAAAGGGTCTATGTAAGGCTTTATAAGCCATGCCAATAAATTCTGACTCATCTAGTAGGAAATAGGAGGCAAAAGGTTTTTAAGTTGAGAAGTGATCTAAAGAGATTTAATTTTGTGGAAGCTAACTCTGGAGGTTACGTCAAGGATGGATTTGAATGGTACAAAGCTATATAAATGATAATAGATTGGAGAAGCATTTCTGAGGTGGGTTCTTAATACCTGGAGAGACAACTGGATGTGTGAAGTTAAAGAGGCAGGGTGCAGAGAGGCAAATGAGAACATGAAGAGTTCTGTTTGGTACACATGGATTGCACTGTATTTGTGTCTAGGAGAGCACCTGAAATAAGTGGGTAGTGCTATATAAGAAGAGTCCTTCCAAAGGAAGTGTGCTCATCATTATCTGTAAGAACCATGGCATTAGCAGTATTATTGTGAGCAAGATGGCTTGGCCACAAGAATGTATTGGGTATTAGTATCATTAAACTTTGATTTTCTAAACAAAATGAAGCAATTGGGCCAATAAAAATGGAATCTCTACTTCTTAAACTGGATTTTAGAAATAAACAGTACATCAATGGGAAAGAAGACTTTAGTACAGCCTTTGGAGAGACGAACCAGTGAGGAACAGGTCATGCTTTGACAGGCAGGAACAATAGGAGGGACCACTGTAAGATGACAAAGCCTCAGTCCTGAGATGTGACAAATGCAGTATAGATCCAACTTGAACCACAATCTCCACCTCTAAATAAGTAGTTAAGATGGGGTCCCTGCAGCACTTAAGTCATGGTCCCAAGAAGAAAGAGTAATATTACATCCATTTCCTACCACAGGGATTTGATTATCTGGCCTTGGTTAAGGGTAGAAGAACAGAGAAAATAGATCATGAGTTCAATAGAAAGGAAGATCTTTACAATGTTAGCGTTCTATCTTCAATAGGGGAAGATAAGCTTCTAAAGCAAAAGACAAAAATCACCCCTGAAAATCTCTAAAGAAAAAATAAGTTTGGAGACTTAACAACTGTCTCTCAATATATAGGACTGACACAACCTGTTTTCCTCCAGTATTAAAGCAAATCACTATTTCTTCAGTTGAGCACTGGATGCAGCAGTGAGCTTACCCTTAGAGAAGATATGTGAATAATATCTTAAAATACTAGGTTCGTAGTACAGTGAAACATGAATCACATAAGAACATGTAAAACCTAAAAACAACTAAGGGGCACAGGATTCACAACTCACCCTTGTTCCTGAGCATACCCTCAGTGAGAATGGTAAATTATCCACATTAAACTGTAATATTTTCTTATTTTCTACTTTTGCTTAGTATATATAATTTGTACCGGTCATTAAATAACTCTACAGTATTCCATATACCTAAATGTTAATCATCAGCAAGATAACATACTACTCAATAATTATTTTTAATAAAAAGATTTGCATCAATTTTACAGAAAGACAGAACATTCGTAAGACAAAGAATATACTAATTGATTAAATTACAAACCTTTTTCTTGTATCCAAATTAGCTTCAGTTTCCATTTCAACATCATTACCATTAGGTTTATCTTGAGAAGTTATTGTTCTTGCTCTTTTACTTTCTACTACTTTTGCTGCTGCCTTAAAAAACGGTGTGTGTGGAGGTAGGGGGATAGGAAGAAATGCATTAAGCCATTTTAAACAAATAGCATTAAAGTAAGCCTCGTAATTCTTTGATAGTCATTGCCAATGTATTTGTTCACAGGCCAATAAAGGGCACTGTGTTGTTATTTTCACCAATAATTATGACACTGCCAGCAGCTACATTAGCTATCTGCTTGGCTTATCAGCATTATGAAGGTGGTTTTTCCTTGTAAATATATTTGATAGACGCAACGCTCTCTAGGCAATTTTAAGAGAAAAGGCTGCATGAATAAAAATTCTAGATATTTTGAAATAAAAATTATCTCAAATCAATCAAGATGCTTCACTATAATAACACCGTCAACTTAAAACTTTTGAGGCCACAACAGACCAAAAACCTGTTATTAGAAAACTTTTATTGTTGTTTGTTCTGAGACAGGGTCTCACCGTTGCCCAGACTGGAGTGCAGTGGCACAATCATAGCTCACTGCAGCCGCAACCTCCTGGGCTCAGGTGATCTCCCACCTCAGCCTCTCAGGTTGCTGAGACTATAGGCGTCTGCCACTACACCTGGCTAAATTTTTGTATCTTTTTGCAAAGATGGAGTTTTGCCGTGTTGCCAAGGTTAGTCTCAAACTCCTGGGCTCAAGCAATCCACTCATTTCCGCCTCCCAAAGTACGGGGATTACAGGCATGCGCCACTGCGCCTCACCAGAAATGTCTTTGTTTTGAGACAGGGTCTCATTTTATCACCCAGGCTGGAGCGTGGTGGCTGAATCTCAGCTTAATACATCCTCAACCTCCCAGGTTCAAGCGATCCTCCTACCTCAGCCCCACCAAGTAGCTGGGACTACAGGCATATGCCACCATGCCCTGCTAATTTTTTTGTAGATAAGGGGTTTCACCATGTTATCCAGGCTGGTCTGGAACTCCTGAAGCCTGGCCTCTCAAAGTGCTAGGATTATGGGTGTGAGCCACCACGACTGGCCTAGAAACTTAAAAGCCCCATCTTTCATGCAATTCTACTTTTCTCCCAAAATGTATTTAAAAACATCTTTAAAATTTACTTAAATTAAAATGAATATTTTCTTTTGCTTATTTCTTATTTTCAATTCATTCTAAGTTTTTCCCTCAACTTTTTCTTTTAAAAATTCTCCTAAACTAATTTTGAAAAATTACAAAAATACTACAAAGACCACCCATAAATCTTTTAATTAGGTCCACAAAATGTAACATTTTATCACCTTCTTCTACAAAACCACAACGAAAAATTCTGGTTTTTTTTTTTTTTTTTTAATCTCACTCTGTCACCAAGCTGGAGTGCAGTGGCATGATCTTGGCTCACTGCAACCTCTGCTTCCTGGGTTCAAGAGATTCTACTGCCTCAGCCTCTCGAGTAGCTGGGACTACTGGCACACACCACCATGCCCAGCTAGTTTGTGTATTTTTAGTAGAAACAGGGTTTCACCATGTTGGTCAGGATGGTCTCAATCTCTTGACCCTGTGATCCACCCGCCTCAGCCTCCCAAAGTGCTGGGATTATAGGAGGGCGCCACTGCACCCAGTAGATTCTTTTTATTTTTAAGGACTACTATTTCAAGTATTCTTCCCTATTAAAACATTTCCTTTAAGTCTATTATTAGAGTCACTCTTGAATAATACGTATACCTTCATTAGAAATGTTGATGATTTTTCACTTAGCACATAATTCACATAACTCTTAATTTTCTCCATCATGTGGTTGTAACTGAAGTGTTGAAAAACAGAATGGTATGTATCTTTCTGAGAGATT